GCCACGATCATACTTGTAAAGTCTTGGGCATATTTTCTCACACGAGGGCCTAAGTGGTTTTTACTCTTGTTGCCGTGGTCACTGTTATTTCTGCTGCTATTATTATTCATGGGAACCAGCTTAGAGAGAAGCTTTTAGAGAGAATCTCACAAGTAAGAATAACTGCATGAAGTTAGGTACCTACTGTTGCTAAAATGTCTCTCTCTGCAAGCACCTGGCAAGGGAAGGGAAATTACTTTTCTGTTTTCTTTTTTGTTTTTTTTTTTATCCTCACCCGAGGACATTTTTCCATTTTTTGTTCAGGTAGAGTGAGAGGGAGAGGGAGGAACACAGAGAGAGAGAGAAACATCGATGTGAAAGGGACACATCGAGTGGCTGCCACCCGCACGACCAACCAGGGCTGGGGACAAACCGCAACCGAGGTACGTGCCCTTAGCGGGAACCAAACCCGGGTCTCTCAGGACCGCAGGCCGACGCTCTAACCGCTGAGCAAAACCGGCCAGGGCTGTTTTTTTTTGATTTTTTTTTAACGGATGAGGAAGCTGAGCTCGAGATAGCTGAAATGTTTTTTTCGAGAGAGATGAGGTTGTGAGGAAAGTGTCTCAACGCAGCCTAGGTTTCTGCCTTCTGGTCCAGCTCGCTCTGCACGCCCTGGGCTGCCCCTTAGTGGAAATGTGTACGCACGCGAAGTCCTGAGCTGGGGTGGTGAGAAGTGAGGCACCCCTGCTGGGGGTCAGGCCAGAGAGGGAATGATCTCAAACTCAGCACTCACTCTTCTGGGCCTCCCCTGTCCCGGCAGCCTGGACCTGGTGATGACTATCTTGCTAGCTTTCCTATACCTTCAAAGAAATGATTTTTATAAATTTTCCTAGTTATTCTCAGTGGGATCCTTGGTCCAAATTACCCAGGTTCCCATCCCCGGCAGCAGCTTTCCTTTGGCATCATCATCATCGATGTGACTTTCCGGTCTTCGTTTTTCTGTACGTCGCTACTGGACGTGCCCATGACCGAAGCAAACTTGAATGCTTAGCCAAGGTGCCTGGCTCTGTGGGACATCGCTAATATTTTATTTTATTTTAATACTGAAGGTGGCTCTTCAAGACCAGGGTTCATGATCATTCAGGTCATCCACTTTGGGTTCCTCTATGGGAAGCATTGAGGTCAGGATGAGAGCCCAGGTCAAATGCAAAGCATAAGCTTAGAAAGAGGGGCCCCGAGTACCTTGGTCTGAGGCAACCTTGTGCTTTCTGCTCGTATTGCAGCTACACTCTTGTCTGTCTGAGTTTTGAAGTGGTTAAAATAGCTTGCGTACCTTTCAGATACTTCTCACCCTGGAGATTCTGGACTTCCACATAGTTTTGTTTTGCATTTCATCAGGTAATTATGCTACATGTTTGATCAGTGAATGATCACATTGCATTTTTATTTAATGAAAACTTTATTTCAAAGGCTTTTTTTTTTTTTTTTGTCTCGTAAACATTCCTTCTCGTTATCATATTTGAGTTTATGTAGCAATTTAGGCTCTCCAAATAATAACTCTGTATTTTAGCAGCAATCTTTCTGAAGCATCGGCATCATGCCTCGTTATATTAAAGAAATATCCATGCCAAATACCTAAACATGACATGGTTATTCACTTGATCTGCACGTTGGCAGCAGGAAAGGAAATTCTGTAGTACTTCTGTATTAGCTAAATGCCACATCTATTTAAATGATCTAATGTGCTACTGTAACCTACGTTTGAAAACAGAAGTTGTTTGGGGTGGGGAACATCTGGCCCGCGGGCCATATAAGGCCCATGAAATCAATACCAGCTGACATCACACACCTCACCAAATTAGCCTGACCAAATATGGCAGGCCTATTTTTAAGTTGGTAATTTTGTATAGCCCACGAATGATGTTATAAATATCCAAATGGCCCTTGGCAGAAAAAAGGTGCCCCACCCCTGGCAGATGAATAGTCTATAAAATAGTAGCAACTGTTTTAATGCTGAAACAACCACAGAACACACAAATGCCAAATTATATACAAAGGATCTTTCCTTTTTATAGTTCAGAGGGCTTCATCGATGGCTCCAAAATCAACTTGAAAATTGTTGCCCTGTAGGGAACATGTTGCCCTGGCTGCTGTGGCTCAGTTGGTTGGATGTCATCCCATTGACCAAAAGGTTGCTGGTTCAATTCCTGGTCAGGGCACATGCCCATGTTTCGGGCTCGATTCCCAGTAGGGGGCGTGCCTGATTGATGTTCTGCTCTCACATTGATGTTTCTCTTTCTCTCTCCCTCTCCCTTCCTCTCTCTCTCAAAACAAACAACAATATATATATATATCTATATATATATATATATATATATGTATATATATATATATCTCTCTATCTATCTCAAGAGAATATGTTTTCTTCAATGACATCTGGGTTACTATTTTGTCTTCATTTACCTCTTCCTATTGTTACTGAAATGCAAATTCAATTTTAGGTATTTGTCTAGTTTAGATTTTGATGGTTGTATAGAGATATCTTTGTAGTAACTAGTGGTTTATTATTCTCTAATAGTTTGGGGTAGGAAGCAGTTTTCATAGTCTTTGACCTCTCTTGAAAGGACTTTCAAGATTAATCTAAAATTATTAATCTGTTTCTTAATTTGCCCAGTGGCATCTGTAATGGGTCAAAAGAGTAAAACAGTCCTGATTTTGGCACACAGTTGGATGTTCTTGAGTGGGTGTATTTAGTCTGCACTTGAGTCTAAGGAACTAACTGCATGAGCCCGGAGGGAAGATGTGTGGTGAGTGTGGAAAGGTCTGGGGTTTCGGTCATCTGCTCATTCACCATGAATCATGAGCGTGCGGTGCAGTTGCCCGGCGAGCAGAGGCGACCAGAGGCCAGGCTGGCGGGGAGAACTCCCAGCGAATGGCAGGGACAGCTGTCCCCTACGCTGCAGTTCCATCCCCAGCCGGGTATCTTGGGGTCAGTCTGGGGTTCTCTAGGTAGCTGTATAAATTTTTAAGTGTTTAAAATTGGCATTTATTCAAAGGCAAGTGGTTAGGATAGAGAGAAAAGTTGAAACCATGTTTATACAAGGAAGAGCTGGAGGAACTGGGGATGTTTATCCTGGAAGAGAGGGTACCGAATTGCTGTCTTCACAGATCTACAGGGCTGTCATGTAGAAGACAGGGTAGATTTATTCTGCATGGCTCTGGAGGACAGACCAAGGGCCAGAGGGGCAGATATTGGCTTAGTATAGGAAGAGCTTTTTGCTGGTTGCACATGTCCCTGAAAGTAATTAACTACCTCCCAAGGTACTAATTTTGGATGGTAAAGACAGCCACGCCTAGGCAGATGGCTGCTATTGTAGAAGGGATCCTGGTAAAATCCCACAAGACTGGACGAACCATCTGCAAAGTCCTCCCTGTTTCAGGCCCTGGTTCTGTATCTCACCATCTCTGTGCAGCACACACGTGTCCTGAGCGCCCTCTGTTTCCAAAGCGCAGTGTGGGGACGCGGGAACTGAGGCGCTGTCAGGGTCAAGCAGCCGGGAGGAGTGCAGTGCTGGGACTGGGCGTTGAGGGCTCAGAGCCCAGAGAGGGCCCGTGGACGCCATCTCTGGGAGGCAGTGCCTGAGCTGAGCCGTCGGTGGGCGTCGGCCAGGTAAAGAGCCGAGATGGGGCATTGCCCTGGGAGAGCCGAGCAGGCGCAGAGGCCGGGGTGCGAGTGTGGGCACAGGCGGATAGGAAGAGAATAAGACTGAGCAGGAGCTGGAGCAGAACGTGCTTTATGGGCTAAACTGAGCATTTGGATTTAGGAGTTGACGTGCCGGAGTAACCTACTTGGATTTGCCTATTTGAAGGCGGCTCAGCTGATGAGGTTGAGGATGGAGCAGAGCTAACAGTGAAGTCTCCCAGGGCTCCTTCTTTATGAGTCTCAGGTTCTCACCTCTTGCAGAAGAGGCCGGGACTAGTGTGCATTGTCCTATGAGAATAAATTCACCCACTGTCTTCCTTTATCATGTATGATCATCAGGCCCAGAGTACTCTGGGTCTTACCAGTGTCTGGGTACCAATGGAGTCACACGGGCAGTGATACCCAGATGCACTCATGCTTCCCTGTTATGCAGCTTGGGATCTCCAGATCCCCATAAAATCTCCCCCAGTTGTTCCTGGGACACCCGGTGAAGCCCTGCGGGAGCTCATGAGCTGGCCCCTCCTGCTCCTGTGTCGTTACCTGAGGACGACGCCTCCTGGGACCTCCTTGTGCAGGTGCTGCTGGAGCCGGCGCCCTCCCTGACGTGCTGAGGTCCCTGCCAGCATCCACGTTCCCGGAATGGTGGCTGTCACCATGCTGAGGTGTCCTGTCCTTCTCCAGATCTGCACGCAGCACAGCCTCACTGTTCCCAGCGGAAGCAGCGTCCGCGGACACGTCCTTTCTTTGTGCGACTTTTGTCACCCAGGCAGTGCAGTGGGACCGGGTGGGCTTGTGTCTCACAATAGCCGCCTTGAAATAAGCTCCTCTGGACTGATCCTCCAGGCTGCAGGACCAAGAGCTGAGAGAGACACCAGGGTTCTCTCTTCGCTCCAGTTTCCCCCGGGATACCCAGAGGTCCTCCCTGTCCTGACTAGTTCTGACCCTTCAGTAGAAAGACAGGCAACGTGGACTGATCCCAGTAGCTTCACCCTCCACATCATCAAACGTGCCTACACCTGAGAGGATGATTATTGTCATTGCTCATGCCTGTCACAGGGCTAAAGTGTCTCAGGTAGCACCTCAGTTAATCACCCCAGCCCTTGGAGCACCGGCTGTTAGTATTCTCATTTGTGGAGGATGAGGCTCAGAGGAATTTAGTAACTTGCTCAAGGTCAAACAGCTTGCAGTGCTCGAATGCAAAACCAGACTGGTCTGGAATATTCCAGACACCAGTACTCTTATCACTTGGTTAACACAGAGTGCCTACTTTTCTCATTGATCGTTTTCGAGAGTATTCAGAATTGGCTTTTGCCTCCAGGGCTGGGAAGAGACGGTGGACGCTGCTGTTTCCCATCTCCTGAAGACCTGCCTGTCCAAGTGTTCCAAGGAGCAGGCTCTGAGCCTCAGCAGCCAGCTGACCAAGCCCAACGACACGAGCCGACTGAAGAAACACATCACTTTGCTTTGCGACCGGCTGGCCAAAGGTGGCCGTCTCTGCCTGAGTGCCGACGCCGCAGCCCCGCAGACCATGGTCATGCCAGGTGAGCTCCGCCCGCGCCCCCGAGCCCACCGCGCTTGCCCCGACTTAGAGAAGTGAGTCTGCGGTTGAATTTGGGGATCCGTGTTTCATACTGAAGTGATGATAGCCAAGAAAATTGCTTTCCCGTAACCACTTGGATAAATATTGTTGGAGTATTTACTTGATAGACGTTTCTAGAATGGTATGTCTTTTTTCTTCCCCCTGCTTTTAAATATAGGATCCATTTTGCTTTGCTTCTAACCAATACAAAGTGGATTAGAGAGTAAAACTAAATGTGATCTTGCGATACCCTATTTCTTCTACGAAAATAGCATAATGCAAGCGGCTAATGTTACTCAGATGAGTCCCATCCCTCTGCTCTTTGCTTGGATTGTGGTCATCAGAATCGGGGGGAGGAGACAAAGAAAAAGCCCGGGGGTCAGGAGGTGCGGCACCTATGGCCAGGGCGAGATGGGCTCGGCCTACAAGACCATGGGCATCCGGGTCCACCCTGCCCTCCCACAGCCAGAGGGTCCCGTAGCGGCAGCAGCCCCACCTCTCTCCCCTCTGCCAGGTGGCTTCCTCTTCGGCAGCAGGAAGGAGCAGGAAGTAAACGACTACTCAATGCAGCAGCTGTACCATCTTCCCGGAAGCAAGGGCCAGAGTATGGGAGGTGGAGCGGTTCTCTCTCCTCCCTTCTCCCAGGCCCGTGTGCCCCGCCCCCACCCGCGCAGAGGCTCTTCCTGTGGCGGCCTCCCCCCCCCCAGCATTTCTAGAAGTGAGACGGAATGCAAGCAGAACCTCAGCGGGCAAATGTGGAGACAGCCTAGCATGATCTGATACTGCGGACGTGGGGGAAGACAGGGTTCGGGTCCGGCTGCGATGCCCGACTACGTAGAGCAAACCTGGATGCCCGGGGGCGATAGCTGACTTTCCAGAACCTTAGTTTCTCCCTTTTGAAAGTGGAGGGTTGTCAAACACCTAGTACAATGTTTGGGACAGAGACGCACACAGAATTCAAGCTCTAATTATTACCATTGTTATAGATATATGTGTAACGCAGCCTCTGAATTAGCTGCTTCGGGGTCATGGGTGCTGTATTCTGTGGTTTTTAATAGTTTTTGCCTTGATCGTCCACAGATAGACCTTAACTTCTATTCCAGAAGAGCGTTTCTAATGTGGCCTTTCAGGATGGAAATGCCTTCCTACATGGAAATGGTTGGAACGGTTTGCCTTAATGTAGGTCCTCTTTCATCTCGCCCTTGTTCACACTGGTCCATCGTTCTCTGCCTATTCCTCTTCTGTGCACTGTTGCAGGATTATTTTCGAGAAATAAATACGTAGGCTGAATGAGAGAGTAATGAGAAACGTTGACCGCGATCGGCCCTCGGTGTATGGCTCTCCCTCCTTCCCTGCTAACCGGGGAAACAGAGGAGGCTGAGGGAGGAGAAATAGATGAAGAGAAAACGTACAAAGTGGGAGGGGGCCCCTGCTTGGCTGGTGCGGCTGCCTCTCTTTCCCGAGTTCCCGCCCGGCTTTGGGAACAGTCTTCGGAGCCCGAGGCCTTGCTGTGAGCACAGACCCGGGTGCCCAGAGCGCGTCCGTGCTCCCTCAGCCCCATATTGACTATGGAACTTCAGTCATTCGTTAAATAACTCGATTGGGAAGCAACTTGAGGGCCGTGTCTGTACAAGCCCTCAGTGCAAAATTTTAACTATGGAAGGAAGGGGCAGAGGAGAGGAGGAACGGAAGGAAGAGAAATGAAGAAACGAAGGGAGATAGAAAATGCATCTGCTCCCACACCAGGAGTCTGTAAACCAGGTCTGTGCCTTTCCTGCTGGTGCAGCCAAGTCCAGGGGAGGGTGCGGCTGCGTGCCCTGCGCTCTCTGTCCTGCTCACCTGGCTCCTTCACCTGCCCGACCCACCGTTGGACTCTGGTCGAGCGACTCCCACTCGCCCTGATCTAGTCGCCACAGTGAGTTTTCAGCTGCTCAGTCAGCGCTCATCCTCATTGACACGCTCCATTGCTACCTATTGCACCCTCCCAGCCCCGAGCTCAGATTTTGCACACACTTATTTCTGCACTTTGCACATTTTTGAGGTAGAAGAAACATGCAGAACTTTCGCCGTTTTACAAATGAAAGACGGGGTTAGGAGAAGCTAAATATCCTGCCCAGAGTCCCGTGGTTACCGGAAGCGTTCTGTCTAGGGTCCGAATCTCCTGGCCCCGGGGCTCCCCTCTCGGTCACACAGATCAGGATGGAGCGAGTGCGTTTCTCACGGAGCTCCCTCCTGTGTGAGCTCTTCCGATCCAGCCTCTCCCCCTGAGAAGGGTCTAGCAGTGCGGGAGGACGGGGGCAGGAGCATTTTCACGCAGTCTCTGTTCTGTGCTATAAGGAATATATTAGATAGATCTTGTTTTGTGCTTAATTTTTATCATCCCTGCGGGTCACATGGTGCCATTATCCCAGAGTTAATAAAATATACTGTGAATGATTTCTGCTTTGAGCCAGTAGTTCTGCAGCTTCCCATGTTAGTTTAGCCACGGTGGCTTCAGAACACGTGCAGGTGAAACCACTGTATGTGTGGTCTCTAAGACACGTCGTTATTAGAAATGTGTTAGAAAGGAGTGGGTCACTGGGCACGTAAGCATACAAGTGTATTTTGCAGACATGATCCTTTTTGAACTCACTTAGCAGCCGAGGTAGCGGGGGCCCGGGAAGCTGGAGTGACTTGGTGGTTGGTAGGGAAGGCCGGGAGTGTGTGGTTTTCCTGTTCCCTCCAACTGCAGATGGGTAGGCATCTCTGATAAAACCCCGAGGTGTTTTCTAGCCGCATGCCTGAGCCCAGCCCGGGGACGTGCCTTCTTTGTTCTGGGATGAGGCGTCCGTCCTGAGTTTGCACATCGTTCGCACTCGGGATAGCCCGTGGACCTCGGCCTCACGTGCTCTGGCGGGCCGCTAGCATCCTTCAGGTTCTCTCTCCAGAGTGGCCTGACCTGCCCTGCACGAATTCTCTTTATGCAGGACCATCAGACTTGCATGTCTCCTCTCTGAAGCTCTGGTATTACACCTCTCTGCTCGGGAAAATGGCGCTGTCACTAAGTGTCCCTTTCTGATCTCAGCTGTGTGCATGCTACCCTGGGGCCACAGGGCAGTGCTTTTAAAAATCTGAATGTGGCCTGGCCAGGGTGGGGCAGTGGTCACCATAAGGTCGCCGGTTCGAGTCCTGGTCAGGACACGTGCCCAGGTTGTGGGCCTGATCCCCAGTGGGGGCATGCAGGAGGCGGTCAGTTGATATTCCCTCTCATTGACGTTTCTCTCTCTCTCTCCCTCTCCCTTCCTCTCTCTCTCAAAGCTTTAAAAAAATCTGAGTCTGAGAGCCTGCAGTGGCCCCGCTGCCGTTCTCATACACCTGTCACCCGCTTGGCCCCACGGTGCCTGGGCCTGGGATTTGTGTCAGGTGGCTGGAGACTTCCTGTTGTGACCTCAGTGTCTAGGACAGCATTTTAGCGGCCCTAGTGGATTACAGCCAGACTTGACTCTCTCGAGCACACGGGCGCGAATGAACGCATACATGGGTGGGCCTAGCGCATGGTGTTTGGAGACTGAACATGTCACCCTCGTGAACACTGGAGTTTTGCTGGCTCCGTGTGGGTTTTAGAAGCTTATGCAGTCTGGGTGACGCTTTGCCCACCACACGCTAGCATGGACCAGTGCTGGCCCGTCAGGCGGATGCTTGGAGAGCAGATGGTGTGGGCCCCACGGCGGGCAGGCAGTGCGAGGGGGCGAGGAGGCTTCAGGACCATCCAGGTTCCCCAGGGGTCTCCAGCGAGTGTGTCCTGATGTGAGCCAGGATGCAGAGTCGTAAGGAGCCGCAGCTTCAACTGTGTTTCCTTGGCACAGCCGGGTTCCTGGGCGAGGGGAGCAAAGAAGGTTTGATAAGTACGTGAGCCTTTTCTTGGATGTGGCTTAGAAAACTCACGTTGCCCTGGGCGGGTGGCTTGGTTGGTTGGAGCATCAGTCTATGAACCAAAGAACAGTTGCAGATTCGATTCCTGGTCGGGGCACATACCTAGGTTGCAGGTGTGATCCCGCCGGGGCATGTGGGGATGCAAGCGATCAATGTATCTATTTCACATTGATCTCTGTCTCTCGCTCTCTAATCAGCAGCCATATCCTCGAGTGAGGATAAAATAAACAAAAAAACTTACTTTGAGATGTGGTGTGGACCACCCAAGAATTAGTATTTTGTGCATCTTTACCACATGAAGTGCGTCGGAGAACAAGAGTATACATCTGAATAAGGTACCTATTCTATCCTTTGGGGAGATACGTTTAAAACTCCCAGTTTTTAATATTTTAAACGAGTCAATGACCTTTTTGCCTTAAGGGTTGGATGTCATTTCAAGGCTACTTCCAATTGACCCGTTGCAACAGAATTTAAATTTAGCGCTTTGAGGTCTCACGTAAGGTGCTGTATAAGACACTTGGGATTGTCACTGTAATTTAGCTTTTGGTTTTATACTTTCTTTGAATTTTTTGCAAGTTTGAAATCTTCCATTAAGAAAAGTTAGACAAATTCAATATAGGAAAAGCCATAGGAAAAATTACTAAGTGGCTTTTGAATTGATTTCTCGCCCAGGGAATATAATCCTTTGTCCATTTTTTAAAAATAGAAGTCTCAACGTGGGAAAATACTGCTATGAAGTGGACTTTGGTGTCAGAGGTACGTGGGTTCCAGAGCTAGCCCGGCCTTTGCCTATCACAGGACACAGGACAGGTTTCTTTGTCTGCTGCTCAGATTCCTCGGCTGTCCAGAGGGATGATCATGGCGCTCTGCCAAAGAGTTGTTGGCCAGATTAAGTATAGTAGGACTTGGGAGATGCTTTACGGGTGCCTGGCACACAGCAAATTCTCACTAACTATGAGCTTCTATTAATAATAATTATAAAAACTAATGTGAAATCTCAAAGGTACCTGTGAGAACTGGACAAAGGTATTCTAGAGTTAGAAGAGTAAA